CCAATCGAGCTTCTTAGCTTCCTCCGGCCCGTCAATCCTTGCGTCGTGTCCGAACACAATGCCGCGGTCTGCCCAATGAGGAAGGTAGTCGGGGTGCTCTCCAAACGTGGCGTTTGCCTTCCCGAGCCTTTCCGTGACGGCTTTCACGGCGAGGCGAATGGATCGACGATGGTCGAACGACCGATGCACGGACGCCACGAGTGTGGGCTTCGCCACCAGCGTCGCGAAGTGGAAAGCTTCGAAGTGGCTGCGCGGATCATCTTCCGACATGTGCATTATCCACATGCACGCCGCCAACAACAGTCTAAAGCAGTCAGCCACCCGGCAAAGACGATCGTGCGAGATGAACTCGCCATCGATGACCGCCCCCATTTGCACCGCCGCCCGGAATGCATGCGCGACGCAGATGATGGTGGACTCCTGGTACGCCGCCATGTCATCATCGTCCGGTCTGTTCTCGACTTTCACGCCCGCGAACCACAGCGGCAAGTCTATGGAGAGATCTATTGCGTGTGCGCAAACCGCCGGGCTGACGGCGTTGCACCACTCCTCGCCGTACCACATAGCTCGTGCTATGTCCGTCGCCACGGACTCGAGCTCGTACTGGAAAGCAAGATTGTAACCCCTCGGGCGGTTCCCAGACTTGAAAACCCAGCCGTGCAATACGCGGAGAGCGATGTTCTCCACTGCCGACGCACGGGAGGTCGCTTGTTGCAGCTGCGACGGGTCGGCGATCCTGGCTATCCGCATGCTGGATTTGGGCATCACAACGCTCCGAGGGATCGCAGGCGGTGGAAGTCGCTGGCGATGGCAACGAAGTACTCTCTTGTCTCGTGTACGATGTTGTAGAGTCTTCGCCCCTCCCCCGTCGTCCAGAAAGGTTTGTCGTCGACCCAAAGGACGGCACGGTCTATGAGGTCATTTGTCAACACTCCCCTGCGCGGCCTGTTCGAACCAGCTTCGCCGCCCTCCCGATCACTCCTCTTCTCTCCACGCGCGTCGTCCCTCGCCATCGCCACAACAGCTCCCTCCTCTCTCGCCGCCGGATCTGGGGGCGCACTGCCTGAAACACCCGCAACCACGCCCGCCGCACCTGCCGCCTCAACCCCAACTGGGCCCGCGTGCGCTGCGACTACCCCACCGCCGCCTCGTTGGACGGACCCTCCTTCAGCAGCCAAGTTGCGAGGACGTGGCACAACCGTGGTGGCGGGCAGCCTACCCGTAACTGCTTTTTCTCCAGCGAGAGCGTGGCCCGAAGCCGCCGACGGCGGGGTGGCTGTTGTGTGACTGTGCAGGAGGCGTCTTTCCAAGGGCTCGTCATCATCGTCACCAACATCGTCGACGTGAGCGTCGTCAGTCCGCCTGTCGCGGGTGCGCACTTGCTTCGTCTCGGGTGGAGGGGTCATCAGCCTTTTCGAAGCGCTGTGATCAGATTGTCTTTGCCCTCCACTCTCCCGAACTCTAGACGCAGTCGCCTGCCCCTGATCTTCCTCAGTCACGAAGTCGTCGTCGTCATCGCCCCCCGCCTCTGCCGCCCAACCTTTCGCTCCTCCAAGAGGGACCCTTGTTGAGGCATCGTCCGACCGCAGCCTCTTCGCCTTCGGGACATGCCTCCGACCTTTTCCAGTCACTTGGCTGTCGTCAGGCAGTCCTTCATGCTTTTTTCCACGGCCCGTCCCTCGCGCAGACATGTTCCCTCACGACCCGTGTAGGCGAGCCACGCGACCCGATGTGAAGACCGCCACGTGTCCACTCGCCCGCCGATAAAAGCCTGCCAGTTGGCAGGTCTGACGACGTTAATGACTCCCTCCCGCTTGCATCTCACTAGTTGCAGTTGTTCCTCCGGAGACCAGTACGTCACAGACTTCCCGACATTGTCGCTGATACAACCTCTGCCCCCACGGCCAACGGATCGACCTCGAATAGCACCCCTGCTGCGTGCTCTCCCCCTCCCACCCGTCTTCCCCAACGGCCGAAGAGGAATGTCTTCGTCGTCGTCCCCTGCGTCCACGTCCTCCGTCAATCGCTCGTCAGCATCGTCGCCGCCAACACCTTCGTCGTCGCCGCCATCACTGTGTGCCCGCATGTTCGACACACCTCGTGTGATGTTCTCCACAGTGGGTACTGGACGCACCGGTGGTCTGCATGCACCCGCGTCCCTCACGTCGGATTGGGTCGATGTTGTGCGTTCAGGCATCGAAGGACGTGCACACTCGACGCGCGGTGACCCGGCTGCGGCTCCGTTGCGTGCAGGCCAGTCACTTGTCGATCGATTGGCGGACGGTGCCGTGAAACCTTGACGCCGGAGCACTGCAGATGGCTCGACACTGGCAGCGACGGACGCATGGGCACGATGGGTGGTTTGATCCGTACGCTGACTCCCACCCTGTTCCACGCCACGCTGTGAAGGATCGGTGTCGATGATCAACGTACGGCTCGCCTCCTTGGACCCGCCAGAACATAAGTCGAGCCTGAGATCAAGTCCTCCGTCATCGTCGTCTCCCAAGCCTTGCTGCAGCAAAGACGTGTACTCGCCGCCTTCATTGCAACCCGAACCGCCTGCTCCTATCGTCTGCGACCAAAGCTGCGTCGAGCCGCTGGCAAGAGGCAACGACGACAGTTCTTCCGTCTCGGGCTCCTCATCCGACGGGGACAGCGGCGTCTCCCACGATTGCAAATGGGCGTACATGGATAGGTCGTACCACCGTGGAGGCTCCGTCGTCGCAGCTCGTATTCCGCCTTGACCCGCACCAACACCCGCGCATCCCTGCATGCCCGCCATTGTACGCTCTCCTGCTGACCGTTTCGTCGACGCCCTCCTCTTGCGATGTTTGTTTCCACGAGCACCACGACAAACACACGTGGAGGAAGACGACAAGTAGGAAGACGACGACGGCGAGCACGAGCAGAGGAAATCTCCTCCCCACGTCAGCCATCAAATTCACCACCAACCCCAACTGTGCACCCGACTGCTACTGCACCACACTGCTGTAACATGCGGGGGGAGTCGCGCCCGGTGGACCTTCATATGCCGACAACAGCCAGAGAAGACAACGAAGGTGGCAGCATGCGATTCAAAAAACGACCGTTGCCGCCACCACTCGGAGCCCGCGCCATCGTGCGTCGTGGAGAGACCGACGTCGTCCTCCACCGCCCCGCTCGCCACCGGCGGCCAATGGCTACCACCACTGGCCGTTGCCGGCCTCGGCCCGCTCCAAAACTCCGATGTCCGACCGCCGACCCGACGGACCGCTACTGGACCAGCAACCCTGTGGCGACGGTGCCTTGCGCGCGACGCACTGACTCCGTGATAATCGGGAATCCTAAATTTTTCAGTAGCTCCGGGGCTACTGGAAAATTTAGGATGATTTGCCTGGGGAATCCTAAAACTTTTAGGATGAGTCCTAACGCCGTTTTCACATTTTCGATTCCCGCGGCCGATTCAGGATTGTGTGCAACCAACACACAATCCTAAAAACTGGAACTTTTAGGAGTGTCTAACGAGACCCTTAGGTCTTCAACCATGAGTTGTTGCTTTTTCCAAGGGCGGATCTCCTCTTCCCCGATCCTAATCCAAGTGCCATCTTGACCGCCAGTCATAGATGGAGCAGCCCGACAGCCAAAGCCTCAATTCTGGTGGTTCTCTTACCACTGCCGGGATAGTGGCCTTCCAAAAGGTTTTTCTTTAAAAAAAAAAAAAAAAAAAAAAAACACGACAGGCTTGAAGCTTCAGAGAGGGCAGGGGAGGAAGGAACTACCGGGTAATAGCGGATATCTTGCGCATGGGTCACGGTGAAGAGGTTCTCTTCCCTCTTTCCAATGACCTGCTCAGTCAATCCTCTGGATTCCAGAGTAATCAATGCTGGCAGGTACCCATCAAGATTCTTGTTCTGATACTATTCAAGGCCATTCTGTAAAAGGGACGCTGGAACCGGTTTCCAGCAGGTGATGCTCCCCACC